AGCAGCAGTAGCAGTGGCAGCGGCAGTAGCAGTAGGAGTAGGAGTAGGAGTAGGAGTAGGAGTAGGAGTAGGAGTAGGAGTAGTAGTAGTAGTAGTAGTAGTAGTAGTAGTAGTAGTAGTAGTGGTAGACGTAGTAGCAGTAGCAGTAGCAGAGGTAGTAATAGTAGTTGCAGTCGTAGTCGTAGACGTGGTAGGCGGGCCAGTAGCAGCACATGCACGAACCCTGGAACTTTGTTTCGCGCGTCTTCTCAGTTCTGGTTCCGTTTCGCAAGGCAGGCCTGTTGCTGCTGCAGATAGCTGTGCATGCGGGTGGGCCGGGGCAGGAGGTTCTTCAACAAGGGCGGCAAGTGCAAGGACCTGCCTCTTCTTGCAGTGTCTCGGCCACTGTCCTGCTCGCTCCCAGATTCTGTGTCTCTCTCACAGGTCTGATCCTTGGGAGACCCCGAGCCTGTACTTCAATTAAGGAATTCGCTACCGTTGGCAAAACGGATGGGTCCTCATCTCCTCCATTTTGTTGGTAAAGCTTGACAAACCTTGCCGAAGGAGCCTGGGCGGTCTCAGATAAAGCATAATCACTGCCATGTGAGGTCCCGTGCTGCTGAACATCCGCAATGAAGAAGCACGTCAAGAGGATTACCTAGAGGCCTCATGGCTGCTCGCTTGCTCGCTGCGAGTCCATCTCTGCCAACACTCGGTTTGCGAGACAAGATAGAACTGAGAAGCACCTGCCCGTCAGTTAGCGCTTTCACGGAAGACCGCATCCTTCACTTTCCAGGACCAAAAACCACGTGACTGCAGGTGCTCCTTGAAAAGTTCCCCATTGCTGCCGTGTTGCTGGAGCCGTTCCTGATTCGCCCCTCCAGTCGACGATTCGCGTGAGGTCTGGTTGGCGGTGAGAGCAAATGCTCACGCTTTTAGCTTCGGGTGTAAATTCTGCTCGCGGCAGAAACCTCTTTGCTAGCTCGAACACCTGTCCCGCAAAGGTTCGACCGAGCTTGCGAATCGAAAGCGCCCGATCCCCAGACCTAGACTTGCGCGTCAAACCTCATGTCAACAACAAAAGCGACAACATGCCAACGGCCTGCACGC